CCCGAGTTTTCTTCAACACATTCCCCTTTTCTTCACTTTCCACTCCAAGAGGACCTCTAGCCCCATTCCCGAATTTTCGAATTTTCACGTCGACAATATTCGTCGACAATGTTCCCCTCGAAAGTCAAACCAAGAACTAACCATGGTATACCACTCGGTGTCGTCCATCTCCGAGACCAAGACTTGGGCCGCGTCGTCGTCTCCCTCGTGCAGTAGCCTAATCTCCTTGGCGGTGGTAGCGCAGCCCGTTCGCGTGCCCTTTTCCTTGCTGATCAACTTCTTGAACGCGCTCGGCATCACGTTCGCGTCCTCCTTATCATCGTCGTCGTTGTCGTCGTCATCGTCATCTTCGTCGTCGTCGTCGTCGTCGTCGTCGTCGTCGTCCTTCCCGCCACCCCAGTGCAGCTTTGCCTTGTTCTTCTGAATAGCCACCGTCCCAATCGTCTCCACGTCGCCCGATTTCACTTTCATCGACAACTCGAGGGACATGGGCGACGATTGCGACTCCTTTGCGTAATCCGCCAGGACGTTCGACAGGACGTTGTTCCAGTCGACGGCGTTCACCTGGCTCTTGCACTTCTTTTTCTTGCTAACGAGTGGAAAAGGAATAATAGAATTACCGATAGTCGTCATTCGATGCACGTATCCACCGAGCGGGATGCTTTTTTTTTTTTTTTTTTTTTAAATAGTTTAAGAACACGTTTGCCGCGCGCGTGCCTTGAATCCTGACGGAGACGTTTGACGCCTTTTGCCGTTTCTCGTACGTTCCGCGATAGTGCTAGATCTCCATTAACGAGAGACGGAATGCTACGCCGAAGGTAGCTGTTTCGAGACAGTTGCTTCATTTGCTTTGCTTCGTCTACTTTATTAAAGAAATAATAATGAAAAATCAGAAAAACGGAGACAACCGCAGCGTGTATCGTTATGTACCATTATATTCGTATAATCGGAAACTTTCGTAAAAGTACTTACTGGCCTCGCGCGCGTCTTCGATAAATCGATATGTGTATCTCTGACAATTTTTGGAAGGATTTATTCGTTCGCGTAGAAAGTGTAGCACGTTAATTCGAACCTCCTGCTCACACGGAGGAAGCGATTCTTCTGGTCTCGTACTTGCCTGATTCTTTATTCTTTTCTTTTCTTTTTTTTTTTTTTTTGAAGTATTTTTTGCTACCGCCGGATAACTAATTTCGATTAATTATTTCGTATAGCCGATTATTAGAATCAGAGAAGTCCACCTAAACGTGCGATTAGGGAATTAGCTAATCTAATTTGCATAAGCGAACACGCAGTTTACCGCAGGAGTGTCCGTTTAATTTGTACGCGTGACATGTTTTTGCGTTCTTAAATCATTTCAAAGATATAACTGCCAACTACCAACGCCACTTTAAGGCGACGTAATTAACGCGATAAATGAGGACAGGTATTGAATCGAACGCGAATTCTAATTTTCTATTTGATGCCTTAACCGATTATACGTAGATTGCACGATTTCAATTGGCGTTCGGCGTACGTCGCGGCATTCGTCGTACGTCGAGCTAATTGACTTCGTTAATTAGCGGTCAAAGAAATTTAGCCGGTGGCTTCGTCGATCGATCAACGATGATCGTTACAATGCCGGTCGATTAATTCGATTGTACCGAGCTCGTCGCGCTACATGCGGTGTTCACGACGCGTAATCGTTTCGTAATGAAAAATCTGAACGTTGAATAATTCGGCAAATAAAGCACTCGGGTTTTATTTTTAAATTAAAATAAAGCCGCAGCGAAACCTCGAAATAATATCTAGCAACCTATCGTTCATCGTCAGTTCGAACTTGATACGTGTCTATACAAACGGAACCGAGGAAATGAATCGATTGCTCTCGAATTCCATGCATTTGCTGCTTTTAACGAGAAGCAGGACGCACTTCTTGTATCTTATTGACCAGCGGTAGAAAGTTCCTTTCAAGTACAATTATTATTCTAATACTCCGCCATTACGAACGAAATATTTAAGCAGACATCCGCGTTTCGATTTCAGAGAATTCAGAACTGGAATGTAACAAATGACGCTGACCCCGAGACTGGCAAGCATCGATTTTTAAAAATCCCCGTGCACAAAAAGTTAATTCCTCGCAAATTGTTTTCGTCGGAACGCCGTTTACGCGCGCGCCGCGATTATTTAGTCACTTAGTATCCCGTCGGCCGTTCGTTCCAACGAAATAATTTACCACGCGTGTTGCAATTAATTTCCATCGAATTTTTCTGACGAACACGTAATTCGCGTTTTCTCCCGATCGCGTGTTTTACTGGGAACATAAAATGCACTCGCGTGGGGTCAAAATCAATTCTACAAAAATACGTTATTATTATAATAAAAAATCAAAGTCTGAATATCTAAAATAATTTAGTCTATGTAACAAGCGACGAACAATCGTTTGAAAAATGAAATTACAAATTTGCTCGTTCGTCATTCGCCGTTACTCGTTAGAGATTTTCGATTGGGGCCACCGCAGCCATTCGCAGCATCGTCGCGGTTTACGCGTGCAACTTTCTACGCAAACGAGCGAACAAAGACGCGTCGCAGTTGTCGCACTTACCACACCGTATCCAACGCCTTCATGTAGACATTTATCGCGTCTTCGAGCCACCTGACGTCCCTCAGTTCCTCCGCGTCGAACATTCCGCCGTCCTTGCTGGACCACCATTTCGATTTCTCGACTCTCGCCTCCAATCCCGCGAATTCGTTCCTGACGCAAACGCGAAGCTCGTCAACAGTTTTCCTATTACTTTGGCGCAATTAAAAAGTGAAACTGATCGATCGGGTTTTTCTGTTAATATCTCCTTAACAAAGCCTCCGTTTTTCGCTGAGGAGACAGTTGTTTCAAATCACCTTCCGAGCCACCCTTTTCAAAGAACCTCTAACGTTTTTGGGACACCTTGCAGAAGCCCGTCGGTGTCGTTTCCTACTGGTCGAGTTCAGCGTAGCGTCGCCAAGAGACGACGATCCAAAGATCCACGATTCGAGATTTGCGTCGCGACAACAATCGTTTCGCAGACGAGCGCATCAGCGATTGTGACTACTGTTAATAGGACAACGGAACGGATGGCATCTGCTGATAGACTCGATAATCGCGTGTGTGCCGTTTGCGTGGATAAACAACGGTATTTCTATTACCAGCGGAATAATGTGCAACAGCTGATAATTCATACGATTGGATCTGTTTTCATTAATAGTAATTGCCATGTTTGATGGCTACATAGATTGAAATTAAACGCGGTCTGATAGACGTACCGGGCAACACGCGATCGTAACCGGTACTCACGGAGTACTGTTACAACCCGATGCGATAAAAACGTAATTTTCTTGTTCCGTTTTGGATAATATGCGTTCCACGGCTGCCGCGGGATCGCGCGATGTTCGTAGACGAATCCTCGAGTCGTACGCGATGTACGATTCGAATGTTAAACAAACATTTTTGTTCGAGGATGTTTGCAGATACGTAAAAAAAAAAAAAAAAAATAAAACGTATCCGTTCTTGAAATACTCGATCGATCATATTCGACTGTAAGTCACGTAGTTCTACGTCTTTTTGTTTTACTTTGCATTGTTCCACATTTTTTTTTGTACCGATATAACGAGTGGAAATTACGAGATATCCGAGACCCGGCGAGTAGGAAGAAGACTGGCTTATTATGTAGAACTCAGTTTCTTTGAAAATTACAGAGTACATTTATGTTCGCTGATGTAACACGGAGAAAAAGATGCAAGACGAGTTCAACGCGAAAATAACGGCATATCCGTTCGAATTACGTTCTTTTTTAGAAAAATTCCATAATTAGATCCGTAACGTGCCAATTATTTCATAATGTTGGCGGATTAAGTAAGAATACTTCATTTTTTTTTTTGTTTTTTAAATACATCGCTGTAGAGATACACGTGGTACACGTAACGCCGTCTGTGTCTAAATCTCTGTGAATTCGCCAGGTGCCACGAATATCTATCGTGAAATATTCTCTCGGTGCTTTCGCGGTTTCGTAATCCTCTGAACTTTTCAAATTGAATAACAACCACTTCTAAAAATTACACCTAACTCATTACCGGCCTCCTCTTTAGTCGCTAATAACAAAAATAATAAATGAGAGGCAAACGCGGAGAGACAATCGCGTGCTCGAGGCGTGAAACATTATCTCGATTCTTATCGCTTTCGTTTCCTTTTGTTCTCATAAAATCGCGAAATCAGCACGATGTTTCCCGAGCTCGTAAATCCTCGCACCGCGAGCGTGCATTACGGATTCAACAATTTTACGCTCTTTTACGCGTTACGCTCTCATTGACCGAACTTTTTCCCATATTTTTGCGCGAATCGATCAAAAATGGCCTCGATCGATATCGATCACGCTCGGAGGGATTACGTGGCGCGATTTTGATTAACATTGTTGCGCGAACGCTTTCGATATTTCTGCAAAAAATAAAAAGGGAAAATAAACGGGTCAGCCGTGCAAATCGCGAACAGGAAATCGCTGACTCAGTTTCTCGTTGACTCGAGATGGGTTGCCCCCCTCGGATACTCGTATACCCTCGTACCGTTTAGAAATTTCCTCCTCGACGTTTTGGATTTTTCCATCGTGTTTCTGCATCCTATTCCGAGTAGAGATATTATTTTAGTTCATTTTACGGGCAAAACAGACGTCTCGGATAGAACTCGAGTCGCGTTCGATGTTAACAAGAAGCTATTTCGCGTTCTAATTCTTTTTTTTTTTACGAGACATCTATCGGATTTTAAATTACTACGGACTGAAGATAATAATAAACGAGCAAACAAATTACGCGAAAAAATATCTAGAGATATACTCTCGCGCGTTCCCCCTTTAATCAAGGCTTATGGATCCTTATACTCGTCATAATCGAGTTTTTGCCGTTGCTTTTTTTTTTTTTTCATCGCTATTTGTAATTTCCTGATACCGCCACCTAGGCGGTTACGCATCGATATTTACGATCGGAATCGTAATTAAATGTGAATTCACGTAATTCCTTTATGAAATCTTTCGTTATGCTCGTTATATGACTCACGCGTTAATTGAGCAGACACCTTCATTGTCAGGACGACGCGCGGGATACAAACGAGGGATTGTATTAATAGACGGCTCTTGCGTAATCACCGATTCGCTCTTCGAGGTGATTTGTGGACATCGGCATCGATCACGTCCTATCAACGCGATCGAACGATTAATCGTTCGGGATCGATTTAGTCAGGGGCTCTCAGCTTGTTTACGATTCACTTTGCTATTTATAACGGCGTTACCAAACAGTCTAGTATTTTATTTCTTACGTGAGCTATCAAGGGTGGCGAGGGGGTGCTCCGTTGGACTTAATAAAACGGTTTCTATATTAATTGGACATCGAGGCTTTTGGATTCATAAATCAATCAATATTTGAAAACCTCTCACGTACAACAACACTACCATTTGCTTTCTAAAAAATTCAATTCAAAAAATAAAAAGGGAAAACAAACGGGTCAGCCGTGCAAATCGCGAACAAAACATCGAACAAAAAGACAAAAATTGTCCATATTAGTTGGTCATCGAGGCTTCTGGATTCCTAAACAAGCCAATATTTTCAACAAGTCTAACCATCAACGGGTACGATTCACCCTACCGAGTCGCCATGAAATTCCAAATAGGTTCCAACAATCATATTTTCTAAACAGGTTAACGAGTCCTTAAAAATGTCGACGCGAACACTATTCAACGAACGCGCTACGAAACATTCATATTGGACGTTCACTATCCTTGGAAAAAAAATCCTCCAATCGAGTCTTTGTCGAGAGTGCATTAAGTATGAAACCTCTCCATTGGTAATTCGCGTTAGCGAGAAAGGCTCGGCATTGCGAGGGTTTAAGGGCGTGAACGATAGGCGGAGCGTTGCGTTCGACGTCACGATCGTTGGCAGCGGCGAGGATATAAATTATACAAATGCCAAGAAAAATGTCGCTGGATAAACGGCAATAGTGTCACGGCTCGCGGATTATCGAGGATTAAAAGGTGACAAAAGACGCTGTCGGTGTGCATCGTTAATTACTCATTACGGTGATAGCTCGCTTAAAGATAGAGCTTCGACGCCAGATTAAGAAAACTGGATCATCCCCACCGAGGTTCGCGTTGGAAAATAGCTGTCGTCATTGACGATACGCGCGGGTAGAGGATATATATATATATATATATATCGTTAACACCTTTTAGCCCTGCCTCCGTCGTTACGGTTACCTGGAATCTTCCAGAAGCAGTATGCTGTTGGTCGAGTTCACGTTTTTTAGATGTTTCTCGAGGTGTCCCTCGCTGAGGACTAGGACGGTCGAATTGACGAATTTCCCAAAGAATCCGTCCTCTGGTTTACCGACGTGTATTATGTGCGTCGTCAAATCTGCGAGCAACCGTAATTTTTGTTCGTAAATAGAGCATCTTCGTCTTATTTTCCCATAAACAATGTAAAAATTGAATAACGTAGGAGTCTAAACGAAAGATAATGCCACGAAGATTCGAAGCCGCGATCCTCGGATCCGCAGTCGACCGCTTTACCTACGCGGCCAATCCCGTTCACTGCGTTTCGTGTTGTCGTTTGACTCCTTATTCTTGGGAGGCGCGTTAAATATTTCTCAATTACCGTCATCGTCGTTATCGTGCACCAAAACGCAGAGGCCTTTCTGAATGGACGCCATCGTCAGTTTCTTCGCGATGTTTTGCGCGTCGTCCTCGCCGTCCTCGTCGACGTTCACCACCAACGTGAACGACTTCCACTTCAACTGTTCCGCGACCTTTAGCGCTCCCTGAAACAAAAAAAAAACCGCTAAGTAAATACGAAGCGAGCGAACGATCGCTTAGAGTCGCTTTTATTAAATAAAAAAAAAAAAAAAAAAAATATTGGTAAGCACTTACCAGGGATTAAAGTTATAATAAATGGCGTCGTTAAACACCGACGGTTTTTAATCGCCCTGCACCGGATTGCGCGTGTTTTGCTACTCGAGTCTAATGAAGAATCGTTACGGAAATTATTACCTGAACCAGATAAGAATCGGATTCTTTCTCGAGACGATGAAGGAACGGAGCACTCGATTTCTGTCTCACGATATGCGGTACCTTCAGCACCGACGTGATTTTATGTACGGCTTCCGCGTTTGTCGCGGTGTCTGGTCCAATGATTCCTACAAAACAAAGGCGGTTTTTACGAAGGTTAAATTGGAAACTTGTCGCGACCGCTATCAGCAACGTTGCGCCGCGAGATTGCAATTCTTTTGCGAGTCTTTTAACCCTTCGCAACGGTGAACGACTCGAAACTACCCTAAATTCGCATCCCCATGGTCTACATTTTCCGAATCTCATCTATCATCGATTCGTATCGAGTGTAGCTTTACCCGTCCCGAATTTCGCCAAATTTGATCAATTCGTCGACGACGTAACCCCCAACGTTCCAACTTGTTCAATTTTTCTGCGCTCTTCCTCGTTCGAGCGACGCGTCCTACATACTTGGAGGCGCCAAGCATGAACAGCAACCCGAACTAAAAATAAAGCGATCCATCACCAGCGACTCTCGCGGACGAATCCGTCGTCCTAATATTCCCAGGTCCGTTCCAGTCACGTAAAATCCAAACGACGAATGTCTGCGACACTGGTTGGCGCAAACGTTTACCTAAGTAGTAAGGCGCTTGCAAGCAATTGGTGTCCGCCGCCACGAGAGCCTTCATCGCCGCCTTCACGGACCCCGTTATACTACCACACGTGTCCACCACGTTCAGATCTGGAAAAACAAAACGAAGCAATTCGCGATCAATTCCTCCTGGACCTGTTCCAGGTCCGCGGAATATGGAATACTGTATTTTTCCAGCGAAACAATCTCGAACTTTCTTGTCGAGATGGAACGGGAACACGAATATCTGTTCCCTTCGAGGAACGACACATCTACGGTCTTATTAACCCTTTGCACTCGAGAGGTGACTCTCAGTCACCACTAGGTCTCCTTTAGGTTTCATTTCTTTCGAACTCGAACATATTCGAGTAATTTTTTCCAAGTAATCGATTTCATTTCAAAAATTTCTGTAAAACTAATCATTTGCCCTATCGCAGTAGT